ATGTATGTAAATATTATATATTGTAAAAAAAGTAATTCGACAAATACAATATTTTATAATAAATAAAATATAATATTTCCAGAATCGTCGCATATATTTAAAAAACAATATATAAACAATAAATATCACCACGAAAAAATTCTAGACACAATTGTTAACCGAATAAAAATAGATTTACACCAGATCATTAATGAAAATGCGGTCGTAACACAGAGGTCAAATTCCTCCGTCATGACGTACGGAATGAGCGTACGAAAATTGTTGTTTTAACAAGATGAAATATCGCAATCGTTCAGGGAACAGTAAAAACATTGAAGCGAGGAGGAATCCGACTTCCAAGGTCGTTAACGGCCAACTGTATTTACACAAGCATTATCGGCAAATGAAGTCCCCTAATGAGCCCGTAAATCCGCCGGAGGAACTTTCTGGAGACTCATTTCACGAGCATTCCCAGTAACGACATTCAATTATGAAATTCGATGGAACGTTAAAATATCTAAACAGGGCATTAGGATTCTTGGGATTTTTATTGGGTTGACTGAGAGATTTAGATGATTGTTTAGATAGTGAGTGTTGACTATGTAGCTTTCGAATGTTAGTGGGATTATAGAATTGTTAATATTGGTATTGGTATGTAGTTGTTAATATTAGTATACAGTTATTAATATTGATGTTAGTGTAGAATTATTAACGTTGATCTGAGTATACAATTATTAGAATTGTTAAGTTTATCTTCTTAAATGTAGGATCAATGGATTGCTGAGGTTGTGCTGATTAAAATGAGTACAAACACGATGGGTATCAGACAAGTTTTATGGTTTCATGGAAACGAGCCTTTAGTCTCGCTGAATACAGTAAGTTGGTAAAAATAGTCCGATTCCTATCGTGTTTGGACTCATTTTAATCGGGATAATCTCGGCAATTCAATGGCACTACATTTGAGAATGTAAGGTTAAGATTGCTGCAATTGAAATTTACTTGACTCAAACATAGTGTCATTGGATTGTTGAGATTGTCCTGATTAAAATGAGTACAAACACGATGGGTTTCGGACAAGTTTTACGATTTGATGGAAACCAGCCTTTAATTTCGTTAGTTACATTGAATCGGTAAAAGTAGTCCGATTCCCATCGTGTTTGGACTCATTTTAATCAGCACAATCCCAACAATTCACTGGCACTATGTTTGAGAAGCTAAGGTTAAACGTGCAGTCAAGTAAATTTCAATTGCAGCAATCTTAACCTTACATTCTCAAATTACTACAATTGAAATTTAATCTCAGTACACATTTATTAATATTAGTATACAATTATTAATATTAATCACAAGATAAAATTATTAATATCAGTACATATTGGTACACAATTATTAATATTAATCTCAGTATAAAATCATTGATACTACTATTACTATCAAATCTCCAAAATTCTTCCTCTCATAACCTAACTTTTCCACAATCTAAAATTCACCTCCAGTCTCATCGAAACACAAATAATTACCCTCCCACAAATAAACAGCAAATAAACACACTCAAACACACAAAGCAATTAGTAGTAACGAGACTAACATTAAACTTTCTCCAATCGGCAGAAGTCACAGAAAACAGATTTCCTCTCACACGAGGTCAAACAATATTTCACAGTGTCCAAATGAAAATT